CATTCCTGTCCAATATGAAACTGAAGCCTAGAAAACATTTGGTTTTTCCTGGTACCCTTTTAGTGCAAACAAAAAAATTCCTCAATACTTCTGGTAACTGCTTTTATCTTTTTTATACAAAAAAGTGAAGACAAATATAGTAAAGCACCATGTGGGTATAAAATTTATGAAACTGTTCAACTGGAGAGAACACCAACAGGCATTAAGGGATAGCACTTTACAAGTTTCAAATATAAAATTATGTCAGTAGTTTGTGTCTGAAAGAAAAATTGACACTCCCAACTCTCAGATCTTCCTATTTTATCATCTGCAGTAAATTTAAAATCTCTGATTTTAAAATGGAAAACAAAAAGCTGCATTACTATTCTTAATACTTATGTATAAGATTTAGACATACAAAAGCTGATATTAGTATATGAAGTTTTTCTGCTCTGTATTTACATTCACACTGATAGAAGTTGGGAAATTTCCTTATTTTTTTTTTGTGGACTTCAGCTTACTAAGTTATCTTGGTCATCTGATAGTCAAGTTCAAGTCTTCAAAAGCTACTGATGTGAACAAGGAACTCCCTGTTCTCGGTGTGAAGCGACAGCTCTGTTTGTTTTAACAAGGCTAAGTTTAAATTTTCTTTTTCCTTTCAAATGATATAAGCCACAGAACCACGGAGAAGTTCACATTTCCTATGCAAGTACTGATAGCCACAGAAAAGAAGCATTTAGCCAAAGTAAAAATAAACAAGTTAACCCTTATTGTTCTCACAGGAAAGAGAAACTGCTTCTTTGCATATACACATACAGTGAAGGAAACAAGTCCCACAAGTCAAAGTCCAAACAGTACTCATTTGTATTGTTATAGCTAAGCATTTGAGAGTTATTCTACTGTTGCTTGAACTGAAAGAAGTAGCTAACATTAAGATTGCTGTGAAATGGGCAAGTAACATACCATGGCTTGAAAGAAAGTTTTTGTGTAAAACATAGGAGAGAGAATATCGTATTAATTACTTTTACAGCTGCTCACAAGATGTCAGAGACTAGATCTGTAAAAGCTGTTTATCCAAGAGATTCAAAGTCAGAACAAAATAACTGAATAAAGACACTATGATTTATGAAAGCTGCCATTGTAATTTATCAGTAAGAGATTCCTGTTTTTCATTATCTAAATTTTAATTTTGAGAAAACTACTCAACAATATAAAGGACATAAAAAGTTGCTTTGACTAACTTGGTTTTCACATACTTTTATCTTTCAAGTGTAGTATTCTCAACCCAGATCTGTTTACAGAAAGGTGAAACATGAAAGACACCATTCTTAGAGAATAAAAAGCTTCTTACTAGTGCATAACTCATTAACAGAGATCTTGCCAAGGCAAGGCTTTTCTATTTGCCAAATGAGTCTTCATCAAGCTAAATTATTTCTCATTAACTCAATTTTCCTGAAGTAATAGTTACCTGCACTACACTACCCTGTAAGATTGTATTCTCTTATAAGCAGTAGTGCCGACTTTCTCAGGAGGGACCTCAGTTTCAGAAAGACACTGACAAAATCTTACAGAAACAGAACAATCAAAAACAAGAAATCAGAATTGGATAAATTCATTCAAGTTTCTTGTTCCCTCAACTGAGGAATTTACATACCATTTCCCCAGCATAATAGGTTCAAGGTTAAATTGCAGCACATTTAACTTAAATAGTGACAGTTCTAGTAGCGAGTTCTTGTCAGCTAGCATTTGAGATAGGCTTAAATGCTTTTAAGAACGTCTTTATTATTTTTAAAAGTGTGACTGTTTAAATAAGTGAAGACAGTGTTATGAATTCATTAGAACAGTTGACAACTTCAAGTGAAAACTGAAGGCTAAAGTACTCAAGATTACATAACCACACTTTGTGTACAATTTAGTGATAAATCACGTGACAAGCCACAAGAGCAAGTCAGCGTTTATCAGACCAAAACTTCCAAAACCATTAGATCTAGCACTACAGCTATTATGTTCAATAAATGGGGTATACTATTAATGTACACTATTACTTTCTTATGTCTCTTCAGAAGTGGGGAAAGAGGGAAGCAAGGCAGTGAGATTTTAAGTACTATGTGATTCAATAACATGCTCTCTGTAATCAGATAACCCCAAACCTACATATTCATGAGGTTTTCAGATCATATATTGCTTCAGTGAAAGCAAACTGACACCTCAGTAAAGTCAGCTAGATAAATTTCTGTAACACTTCATACTTAAGAGTTATCACTAAACAAAATAACAGCCCAAAGAAAAGCACTTTACTTCCATATACAATGAAGTATTTTTGTCTTGTCACTAGGACACATCTAAACAAAATTAAGTCAATAAACAGTTGTATTAACAAAATTATTTATGTACCTCACAGGCGCTGAGGATTTTGTGCGTGAATAGACATCTCCTATCCTCCTCCTTTTAACAATCTGAGCAACTCATTTGATCAAAAAAGCACAAGCAGCCATGAAATTCTGACCAGCAAGGACAGCACAGGCAAGCCATTTTGAATGAAGACTCTGAAAACCACTCTTTTGAGCTATAGTACTTCAAAACTCACTTCCAAATGTTTCTTTTGTTATCATGTAACAAATATTTCTAACCCCTTTCTCAGAAAGAAGACTGCATTTTTGAGAAAATGAGCAGAAGTTCTAATCTGGTGTATGAAAGTTACACTCCACTATGACTTACAGACAAGCCCTGATGTCAGGTCCCTTCGTTTGCTGTGCAGCCTGTGAAGCACAACGGACTGATGCCAAGCTCACTGATGAGCATAAGGAAAAGGGAAGCTATAGTAAGATCAGTATTTCTTCAATAATCAAGAGACTTGCATTGTATTCCCCATTTTGCCTCTAGCTTCCCAATTTCAGAAGGATATTGAAAAAAGTATATAAAATGGTAACCCTACAGACACCTGCTTTTACATCCCCAAGACAATATAGACTTCCTTAGAGATGACAGGGAAAAGAAAGAATAAAAAAAACCAAAAATAAGATCAGGCATGGTTTTACTGTCAAGTATTTCATACACTGATAGTGATGGGTGCTGCAATACAGATATTAGGGTAAAGTTTAGCACTGCTAAGTAAAACAAAATTCATTCATACCACCTGTTAACTTGTCACTTAATTTCTACCTCATATTATGTTTTAGTATTTTAATTTGAGAGCACAAAAGGGAGAGTACTATTATGGTATCAGATACAGGATGATACCATTAAAAGAGGCCAAATAGATTAGCAACTATCAATTCAGAAAATACACCATAAATTACATGTTCAAAATCTTTAGATGTGGCCTAGAAGATAAAGGAAACTTTGCTTCCTTCTCTTATCTCGTAATTATATCTAGTATCAAGTTATATCCTGGTATGTGACTAACAGATAACTGGGTTAAGGAGTATACTTACTGGATTTCCTTTACACAACTTAAAGAAAATTACTTCCCCAGCCCTCTAAGTTATCAGTATGTTGTTTGGGGTTTTTTGTTTTGTTTTGGTGGGTTTTTTTGGTTTGTTTTTTTGTTTTTTTGTTTGTTTGTTTGTTTTTTTTTTAATATGATACTGCCCTCACACAAAATAACCCACAGTCCTTTGTTAGTACAATCATCTGTAACTAACAGAGTACAGGACTGCTCTCCCTTTCCACCCCCAAGATCAAATCCCACATGCAATTCCTTCACCTTTCCTAGAAGCATATTAAGAATGAGAAACAAAATACCTCAGTTCAAGCGTAACACAGAAGTCTTAAGAGATACAAGATCAATTTTTTATTTCATTAAAGTGTAATCATATTACAAAAACTGCTCAGGACCTTCTACAGTTTAATTCTGCTTTCAGTGTTAGGTCAACCTTGTCTCAGGGTACTCCTGAGGTCCCTTTCAATCTAAATCAGTTAATGATCATTACAGAACCTACTCCCAACCTAAGCAGTTAATTACAAAAGTTAACTGGGAACAAATCACTGGGAACGTCAGTAGAAGACACAGAGCTTAGGACAATGAAGACTCAAAAATGTGTGTAGAAAAGAAACCCTAACACTCTAAGCTGTGCATGAAAAGCAAGCTAGAAGCCAAGGAAGATTGGTTTACACCTTCACAGAAGCAGTACTGAAGTCACTGGAAAAGGGAAGAATGGTTGATGTTCTTCAACTCGTACGAAAAGAAAGTTATATTTATAGTAAAACCACGTTTTTTTGTTTCACCTACGCTGCAGCAAGCCCCTTGTCAAGTGTCTAGATATATCATCACACACAAAACAGTTGACCTAGGAAGGCAGTGCAGAGCAGCTACTTTTTAACCACAGCATAGAGCAATTACTTTATTTGTTTAGTGTCTTTTATGTCCTTTAATAGAAGGTCAAAAGTGAAATTGATTATAGCTGTGAACACAATGTGCTGTCAGCGTCTTCCAAACACATGAAGCTTTTACTTTACAGAAATGACTTTTTCTGCTGTTCTAAAGCTACAAAAGGCAAGAGAAAGTGCATTCTCAAAACCTTCTGCAGACTTACAAAAAAAGTTGCAGATGTTTTTCAAATGTATATTTAAGCTTTGCATTCTTATGATCTGGTATAAAAGGTTATCATTTCATACTCTCTATACAGGAAAATACATATAAAACAAACTATTGTTTAATCTATTCATACAGAACAACAACCTCCTATTTAAGTCACCATTTAAAAAGATGTTATTCGTCTTGAGAGATCCTCTTCACCTTATAAACAAATCTTAGAGAGCTCTGATACCCTTCCCCTAGCTCAAGCACAATTTAAGCCATTTAACTGGTCTTGTAGCTGTTTTTGTGGGTTTTTTTCAAATAGCCATCCTGTTAAAATAGTTTCAGCTAACGTATAAATATATTCAGGCTAACTTTATACTCATGCTTTGTGCAAGTCGCTAAACGGGGCAAAAATATTCTAAATACCATTAAAGTGTTTCGGGAAGAATCTCCGGTGACCACTCTGAGTACGCAAAACACAACAGATCACAACACTTACTTTTCATAGACCAGTTCCTCATCGGTACAGAAGTAGTGGGTATTTACGGTGCTCTTCGGTTTACTTCGTAAAGTAGCAAAGTACAGCCGATCTGAAAGAGAGATGAGGGTAAGGGCGTCGGGCGGACAAGGCAGAGCGCCGCTTCCCCGCGGCACGCCTGCCATCCCTCCGGTGGGCGCCGCCGCCCCGTCCTGCCCCGCCGCGGCCCGGGTGCCGAAGAGGCACCGCCGCTCTCTTCCGCCTGCGGGAGCAGCGACGGGAGCGCGAAGCCCCGCTCGGCCCGCGGGCTCTGCCCACGGGGAACCCCCGCCCCGCCCCGCTCCGGCCGGGCACCCCGCGGCAGCGGCTCCGGGGGGGCGGGCGGGGGCCATGTCTGCGGCAGCGCGCAGCGATACACAGCAACAGGTGCCGGCCCCGCTTCTTACCGGAAAAGAGAGGAGGAAGGAACCGCTGAGGCGTGCCCCGCGGCAGCCCAGGCGCAGGCAGCTCGCGAAAACCGCACGGCAAGGCGGGGGGGGGGGGGGGGGGGGGGGGCCGCAGCCGGGCCAAGCACGCAGCACAGCCGACGGAGCCGGGGAAGGGAGGGGGGGGAGCGGGACAGAAGCCGGCGAGTTTTCTTTCCAAGGGAGGCTCCGGAGAACAGGACCCCAAGGGGCAAGGGATGAGGGGGGGGTCCCCAGCCCCTTCTCACCTTTCACGAACTCCGAGGCTCCCCCCAGCACTTCGGAGACGGCTGCCGCCGGCTCCATCTTAAACAGGGCGCGGAGCAGCGAGGCGCGGGGCGGCTCTGAACTCATGGCGGAGCCGGGGGCGCGCTGCCTGGGAAGCGACCTGTTGCGCGAAGGACCCGCCCGCCCGGGGCCGCGCTGCTAGGAGCGCCGCTGCCGCAGCCCGCATAGGAACGGGAGCGGAGACGAGAACTAGCTCCGGGACACGGCGAGCGGGCGGGCGGGCGGGCGAGCGCCGGCAGGGACTTTGGCTCCACCCCGCCCCCAGCCAGGAGACGCCCCCCGGACAGGAGGCAGCGGGCGGTTACCAGGCGACCGGCGGCGCTCTAGCAACCGCGTTACCGAGCCTTTGTTTCGCCCGGCCCCGGCGTGCGAGTGACCGGCCCGCCCCGCCTCAGCCCCCTCGGCTCGGCGGCCCCGCCCTCCGCCTCCCGGCGCCGAACCGGCGGCCCACCAGCGCCCCTGGCCCGCTAGGCAGCGGCCCTGCACCCGCCACGGCTCCGCCCTCCGCCTTAGCCCGGCTCTCTCGCCCGCCTCCCGGCGGAGCGCCGCCCTCTCCGCGGCCCTTCGCCCTGCTCTCCCCCCGCCCGAGGGCGGCCCCTGGGAGGTGGAGGGGGGTCTCGAGGTACAGCTCGCAGGGCTTGAGGTGGCGGGAAGCAGACCTGCGGCGGAGCTAGTACCTCAGCGGTGCAGGCCTGGCTGAGGGCGGAGGTAAGCGGGCCGGGCGGGCGGCCGCCGCAGGGGAGCGGGTTAGCTCCGCGCTGCACCGGCGAAATTCCTTCGCCTCTCCCGGGACACTTATTCGCGCGGTGGGGGGGGGGGGGGGGGGCCGGCCCGGCCGCGCCTGCCCCACCATTTAGCTTGATAGACAAACCGACTCGCCACTCAAAGGCTGCCTTCCTACCTCTCCGGCCAATGAGCGAGTGGTGCCTGGTGAAGAGGGGGCTGCCGCCGTGCAGCCCTGGCTGTGGCGCCTCCTGCGCAGGCGCCTCCTTTCCCGCCCGCCGGGGTTTCTGTCACCCGCGGCGTCCTCCCGCCGTCGCTCCGGGAAGTCCTGTCTGCCGGGCGGCGGCGTCTGCTGAGGAGAACTGAGGAGCAGCAAGATCTCGGAGAAGCCGCTTGCGAATAGAAAGGGAGGACGCTCGCCCCTACCGCATGGAACTCTAGTAGTGTTTTGGTTTGAGTTACGGGCTCTTTCTTGTACTCAGAAATCGTCCAGTGATCAAGAGTTTCACGTATGTTTCGAAGGCTGTGGTAAAACTACACAAAATTACTTGTAGCTTAATGCTTCAAAAAAAAGTGACTTTCTAGTGGTTTATTTGCAAAAGCTGAGTTAGTTTGTAGTCTGCAATTAACGTACTGCCAAAGAAATAGAAGCATTAAAAATGTTAGAAATGCCTTTCTCCTACCACCCTCTCCTTTAGAAGGAGTAAGTGCCAAACAGCAGATGGTCCATCTCATTTTTACAGCTAAAGCAACAGGTTGCAAAGGAGAGGTACCTTGAAGAGAAAAAAAAGGATGCTATTCTTCTCCCAAAACAAAAACCACCCTTGAAACACCTTAAAAAGACATTGCAATACAAAGCAATATGCAGCCCTGAGGATATTATTATCACCATGTTTTACTAACACTATAAATAACCTACTGTAACTACCAGTTCATGTAATTAATACTAGTGTGTCTGCAGATGATGCTAAACATGAGTGTGAAAATTTTGACTCTTCAATTTTTAATCTAGTGTCACGAGCACTGGATAAACTTTAAAGCTTTACATATATGTTGAAATACTACAGAAAATACTTATCTTGTGCAATTGTTTTGTAGTTGCTTATTTATTTTTGGTATTGGTTCTAATAACTTGTACCTGTGTTTTTTCATTCCTCTTTTTTTCCTTTTTTTCATAGCTCCAGAACTAATATTCCAGAATATTATTCTCTTTGGGCCTGACCTGAGTTAAGAAACATCATTCTCAGTAGTAAGTACTATTCCACACAAGATGCTTGCAAGACTGAGACCACAGTCTTCTGTAACAGCAAACTAAGTGAAGGTGGTTGGAGGCTACTTCCTTTTCATGGAAATGGATGTATTTGTGTTTTCCTATATTGTTCTATAGTACTTTCACTTCTATTTAACCCTTCATTAAATAAAATATTTAATATTTTTATTTACAAGCAATTCTTTAAGGGGTAACATATCCTGGGTAAGAAAAGAGATATCAATGTATTTTCTCCAGAGCTGTAGTTTTTTAACATCCTTTTTTACTCAAACTTTCACTCCAGTCTGTGCTGCGCTCTACTTGATGGGAGTTTGTATGAGCATACATTAAACTAAAGTATCTAGGGCAACAGAAGCAAGGATGGAGCAGTGTAACAGGCTAGCTGTCCAGTACCTAGAATCCCTAGATACATAGTTTGTGTTAATGCCTATTATTTTGTAAATCCATATAGGTGAATCTAGGAGGCAACCATGACAAGAAACTGCAGCCCCACTCTCAAATGTTGTTTGTATACTGCTTATATAGATTTTTCAAAATTATAAATATTGTTTTGGTTGCACACAAGTTCTCATTGGTAGCAATTAGCTAGAGCCTTTGTAGGCACAGAAAATACTCGATCTTTCTCTTCTTCCCTGTAAAAATATGTGTAAAATAACCTCCATACTTCTTCAGTTCCAGTATTGTCTCTCATAGCTTTTAGCATGATTATCTAATGAATTTCACCTAGTAAGATGCTAGCTTTAACAATGTTTTCACCTCATACAATTTTGCTATTATAATCAATTCCAATTACTGCTTTAAACATTTGATGATATCAAATATCAAGGCTACAGTGACATCTTGTGGCCTTTTTTACCAGTAGGTAAAGCAGCAATTTTCTTGTAGTCCTGCTGCATCATTTTAAGACTATATCCTGATTTTTTTCAGCAATGATTTTTCAAATATACGTTTTAGATACCATTTCAAAAATCATGTGTTGCATAAACATTAATTTCTACAGAACATTCAGAGGTGGTGACAAAACTGTTTAGACTCCAAAATATTTCCAAATAACATCTTGGTAATCTCTTAGAAGAAATCATCACCGGCATATTATTTTGTTAAAAAATATAAAATTTCAGTAATATATTTTATTAAAGAATCTTAAAGCACTTCTATAACCATTGAGGGATAAAAAGTTACCAGTCTTTAAAAAAATAAACAAAACCCTTTTGGTTCCTAAGCACAATGAATTATGGCTGGAGCTGAAGTCTTATCTTTGAATTTTCTTTGCTATCTGAGCCCAACCACTTAAGGCTGTGGTTTTTGATGGCTTTTTTTCCTCATGAGTGGGCCTTACCTAAATTAAATGAATGTATGTACCAACAAGAACACTTTTTTTAAAAACTGAAATCTTTGTGCTGTTTATATGCATGCAAACTGTGAGCTTACTCTAGACATCTAACACTGAAAAATTTGATCAACAGCCTGAAAATAAATACATCACAAATCTGGTTTATGTATTTTATTTTACAATGGTAAAATTAAGTTTACCAGTATAATAAAAGCATGTTCTATTAATTCTTTCACTGATACAGAAGAACAAAAAAAAACACCAACCCAAACAACTCCTTCCCCCCCAACAAGGAACCCATTACTAAGATTTGGCTGAATTTACAGTTCATTTCACATTTTAAAAGTAAGGTAAACAACATCTGTGAGTCTTATCAATTCTAGTTGATACTGCACAGAACAGAAATTACAGAATACCATAAAATAAATGAAATGCAGTAAACCACCCCTAGGCAAGTTGTATAATACATATCACTACTGCACAGTAATTAGGAGCTACTTCTCACTATCAAAATTTAGCAGACTTTACATTGCCATTTTAAGATTTCACCCTTGCAAAAGTACTAGGAAGACTTCACTGAACAGAAACCAAATCCTTTAACACTGACAGAACAAGGCAACAGAATCCTCCATTCCTCCAAAGACTCACATCCAGAATCGGCCCAGCTCTAAAAGAACTTGTCACAGTTTTCAACCATTTTTTCTCCAGCCAACTTACTACAAAAAATGTTAAAATTACACACCATTTGTGCAGATGCTATTTGTGTACTAGATATTAGCTGTTATTGATTGCCCATAGATACCTTTAAACTGATAATAAGAATCAATTAAGAGCTGATGCAGATGAAAATAAATCTACTCTGGATGCCAGATTTGATTCCTGTATTGTTCTTCCCTCCATACCACAAAAAAGTTGTGTAACTGCAACGTAAAAGGTTTGTCCTGTCTATGTTAACATGACGTTTCCAGAACTAGAGAGTCCCAATCCAACAAAAGCTGTTAATAATAGCTCTGCTTTTTCCTAGAGATGAAGCCAGGGAATTCAGAGACTGATAACAGTCCAGCCTTGTCAAATAACACTGTACCTTAAAATACTTTTTTTAGTAATGTTTTACCCATTTATTGCACATTTTAATTCTGTTGTCATAGTCACCAAAACCAGAGATGAACCAAAAAGTGAATATTCATTTGAAAGAGTAGTTAAAAAAACAGTAGATCTGTAATATTACAAAATGTACACCCTGTAATAAATGTAGAACAGCTCGCTCTTACTAGGAATTGTAAATAAGACCTTTTTAAAAAGTGAGGATTTTCTTGGGCACATTTTTGTAACAATGTACATGCAAAATATCAAAATAAAACTAAGTACTAAGAGAGTATTATTAAGTAATATCCCATCCATTTCTCCTGGCTGCTTTTTTAAGTTTCATATTTCATGTATTCATGTTTCTTACATTTCCAACTTCTAGGTTCTACCTTTTAGCTGCTTTCAGTGTTTCAGCGACTCCAGGCAAATTAATAATACAGCAAAAAGCCACATCAGAGATCACTTTCCACTACCTCAGCAGTGACAGTTGATACTGTAGGCAATGGTTTTAGGACTATCTGAGATTAAGGTGAGGTACTGTTTTCTGGCTTGCTTTCATAGCAGCTTCAGGAACATCTCAGAATAGAATAGCTTATATACAAACTTCAAAGGGATTTTGTACAGGAGTCTAGAAGCCTGGCCAATAGTTTACTGTAACCCTTCTACAGTTTCACTGGGAACTGTGTAGGGAGAGGTGAGGACAGGAGGGGGAAGGCAAGGAAGCATCTCTACCTGTAACTGTCAAATATATGCGTAGACCTCATTTGACTAGATACATATATTTAAAAAAAAATAATCAAAACATAAGCACTGAAGGGTAAGAGTGAATTTTGTCTGTGTGATTCTGAAGAACTGGTCTAATTAATTGTAATAGCTTTTCAGGTTTTAATGAAAGAAGATGATTTTATCACAGCTAAACATTAGTGTATATTCTTCAAGTTTTCTCAAAACTTACCTTGGAGAATTAGTAAGAAAGGAAAAAGAATACATAAAAAGACATATGGAAAAAAATCAGAGGCTACAAATAAGGATGGCCAAGATGTAGTAATTACACCTTCTTCTCTCCTTGAACTCAGTACAGTTCACTGAGTATTGTTTAACATCCAAGCCCTTAAATTCACTGGCTTACATTTTATTTTTGTGATTGGCATAATTAGGAAAACCAAACTGAGAAATCATGATATTAGAATATTTTAAAGGCATGCCATCATAAATATTAACCAGTTTATTTACACAGTAAGATCTCTGTAACAAATGCTCTGCTCGGTGCCACATTCCAGAATAGCCACTGTTAGTGTCTTTTTCTAAATTTCTTATATCAACGGGCTTCACAAACACTCCTGAAGGCTTTCCAGTATGCTTGGCTACCAGAAAATTCATGGCAATATCATCACAATTTTGTGTCCCATCTATTAAGGCATAAACAGCTTCTGGTTGCCTTTGAAAGTCTTCTAAATACCCACTATGAAAAAATGCTGCACCGATAAGAACCATAGAATACTGATCTCCATTTCCAAATCCAGGGTTCTGCAATTCAAAGCTGCCATAACTGTATACACCTGAAGGAGTAGAAATGTGCTTTCTAGGAACAAATCCCACTATATGTTCTGGAAATTGCTGAAAGAAAAAAGAAATTTAAAAAAATCAAAATTAAGCCCACACTGTGAAATACGTGTTAAGTATTTTCATAAGAGAGATTTATGCTTTTTTAAATGAGGAGAGCACAAGATTATTGCCAGGAAATAATGAAATTATTGGCATATGGTCCTTTGATGTGCATAAATGTTGCAGTTAAATACAGTTTTGCAAAACTGACACAATGTGCCACGTTCCACATCGTGTAGTGCCAAGAAACATCTCTCCACAATTTGCAGCTGTATATTTGGCATTCAAAATAAATTTACAATTTCTCTTAGAGACAAAAACCCTACACACTTTTGTTTTGCAGCCTACTATCAATTTAAATAAATTCAGCAGTCAGCAACTTCAGTATTTATGTACAAGAAAAGTTAAAAATTTGAAAGTTATAGATTACAGGTATAGCTACTATTGAATAATGTTTTTGCAATTTCTACTATTCAATGCTTCAATCCTTCTAAAATTTAATTTTATATCTAGAAAATCAATGGTAAAACCGTTATGATATAGTATTAGTCTAACTGAAACCATTAATCTCAATTGTAACTCAGAAATACGGGCTGCCAAGGTGCAAAACATTACCTGCCAAACAGAAAAGGCAAAAGCAAGGTCATGAGCACTGACTAGTGTGTCATCATCCATCATTAAAACAGCTGGAGGGAGGGAAAAAAAAAAACAACAAAACTTTTAACGTATCAAAAGATTAAGTACATGAGCACAGTATGTAATGCAGTACTTGCCAAGTTAGCTGTGAAACTTCTATAACCATAACCATTAAGCTGAATTGCAGAACTGAATTGTAACTCCTTGAAAGTAGGTTGAGAAAATAGATTTAAAATCTAAAGCCAAGGTGAAGCTTTGTGGTAACTGGAAGCAAATCTAAATTTTAGATTATTTGCCAGGCTATAAAAAAACTCAACAACCTTTGGTTGTCTGTAGCACAGCTGGACAGATACGTGTTGGGAAACTTGGGAGTGATTGGCAAAGTAACTTAACAACCTAATCTTGTGGAAAAACACAACTAAAATAAAAAGTTAGATACCATTCTTTATAAGATTTATGTGGGATTTTTAATATAAAATTTGATTTGTCTCCTTACAACTTGCAAGTGCTAAAAAAGCAAGCTTAATAAATTGCACAGGCAATATTCAGTATGATTAACTACAGGAGGAAGAATCTTTGCCCTAAAGTTTAGGCAAATGACTATACAGAAAGGAAAGATATTATTAGATCAGACCTCCACATTCATTAAAGCTTTTTAAGTTTACAGTCAGAATAAATCCTACTGCAGTAAATAAAACACTTGGGAAGTTGAAGTCTCTAGTGTCTTCCTAGAAGTCATGGATTTTGCTTAGCAAGGCATGTTAGGAAAGGGGGCAGTAAACAGAATTACCTTTACTAATCATGAGTAAGGTCAGGTCTGTAATGCAACATATGGGGTTTTTTTCCACTTGAAACAAACAGAGCTTATTGTTGTGCTTCTCCTGGAAAGAGCTTAGGAACAATATTTAGATGAATAGCCAAAAGACTGAGAAAAATACTCTTAAAATGGATACAGAATTTGAGATAGAAAGCCAGACAGCTGGGGAGGGAAGTTTCCGTGAAGAGCAGAACATGCTTGAGAACTTAGTCTTAAAATGAATGGATTAAATCAAGTCTTTACAGATGACTTAAGTCCAAATTAATGAGAGATTCAACGAATGCACAGTGAATTTCAGCTTACATTATAAAGGGAAGAGAGGCTAAACTACCTACATTTGCCTGACAAAGGAAATGTAAAACAAAGACAGTTGCAAAAGCCCATGAAATGCATTTGACATCCCTCTTTTCTTCCTCACTCTTCACTGATAACCTGCTGGTGGAGGTGGTGGTGTGCATCTGATATTGTAACATAGGTTTCTTCTATATGACGCACATTCCATTAAGTGGCCCAACAGATGCATGGATTTATTACATAGTATAACTCAAACCATCTCTCTTTCAGCATTCAGATTTTAAGCAAGAACATATAATATTAGTAGTAGTGACATGAACTGCTAATTACCTTTTGTTTCCAGTTCAGGGAAATTCTGGAGTCTGTTCCTCATGCGATTTACAGTTTGAACTTTAAAGATGACAGGGACAGGATGGGGCCCCAAAGAATTCCACATTTCCTCTGGTATCTTCTCACCAACGTTGTTCCACACAACAATTACTTTATGTAGGTGGGGGATGGCTTGATAATGATTTAAAAGCTTTAGCAGTAAGTCAGTTCTATTATATGTCTGCATAATAAGAGTAAATGAATCCAAGACAGACTGACTCTGGGTTTTCGGTTCCCTTTTCAAATTGGGCATTTTGTCATCTTTGATATTGGGAAGCAAAGCTGTTAAAGCACCTGCCACAAGAAGTAAGACAATGATCACCACAGAAGTGAAGCGTAGTAGGCGGATTCCCATAACTCTTCCTGGAAGCTTACAGAAGTGAAAACACCTTTAAAACAGGTAACAGGAAAGGAAAAGTCATTAATCCCATGCATAGTTATCTCCCTTACTTGAGCAAAACTCCGTAATATTCAGTAGACTGTTGTTTAAGTAAATAAATAAGGAGGATTTTAGGACTTGAGCCAATTACTTTCAAGACAGATACTTCTGGTACTCCGTTTCTATGTTTACTTGCTTTTCACTTTTTTTAGTTAACTTTGAGTCTCACTGTTTTGTGAAAATTAATCTAGAGTAATTCCTTAACTCTAGATTGTTCATCGTCTCTTATTTTCTCAGTACTGCATTTTTGATTGAACATTTACATACCTCACCACACCCACCCAGCTGACATTAGAAAGCACATTTGTACAGATTTAGTACTCTTAGCACTGCAGGAGCTCTGTGTTAGCTGGGAAACAAAGGGAGAGAAGGTGCCTCCTCAAGAGCTCTGGCAGAAAGGAGGAAGTTAAATGCTTTCTTTTCCCGTTGCTCAGGCACCATACACAGAAGGAACAGCCTTTATCACTGATTTGCTGGACATTTTGTTAATAGTTTGTATACCTGCTAATAATGGTTATTAATGCAAAAATTCTGATCATACTAGCTGAGGCTATAATACACAGGTGGAGCAAAAGAAACATGCCAAATAGAGTAATGTAGGAATGCAACAACATCAGTAACTGCTGGTCTGCTAAATCGAGAGCTCAGCAGAAACTGGAAATGTCAGATGTTAGGTGAAATGTATCTGGTTATCTATGTAACTGGGAGAGCAGCCTTAGTATAAGGCAGAGGCTTCTGAATCCTCCTGATTTTGGAACTAAACAGGAGTTCTTAAAAAACAGCTCCTACAAAGGTAGCCCCAACATTCATGCCTCTTAGGCAGCACTCCCAGTTCTCCAGATATTTATAAATTGTAAACTCAGGAGGATCCAGCAGGCACTGCATTCCATAGTTTGCTCCTCAAATGTGTCACCCACATCTGTTCTTCCTCCTTTAATCGCAAGATTAGCATGATTTGAATACAAGATGAATATTCTAAGATTACTACTAATTGGTTACTTATCCATATGTATTACTCATGTTACTCTGTTAGTAATTTCTAGGCCTTCAGCAGGGAATTTTGATCAAATTGAGTGATGTAGGACAGCCCCATCAATTACAATTTTTGAGGGACTGTGAGTTTTTTCACAGAAGTTTTGATCATTTTCTTCCAAAATGCATATACCATGCTTGAAAATATGAATGTAAATTCTTTTAGTCTAAAAAACGTCTCAACTTACCTCATTGTTGCCAAGTTGGATTGTTTTTCCCCCCCTTGTTTTCACAGGACAGCTGTTTGTGATCTATCAATCTGCTGGAAATTAAAGGGACTCTATAACTGAAGATCATCAGTTATCCCACAGGCTACACAGCATTCTTTTACAAGTAAATGTTCCTCTCAGTTACTGACTGATGTATGCATTTTTGGCAATTATCCAATCCCTTTTCTTATTGCTCAGTTGAATAATTGTCTACGCCTTTCAATAAACACTCCAGAAATGAGTTATTACACCAGTTGGTTAGAAAGAAAAGCATAGCATATTTCTCTGCCTGTAATATTGTTGCTCTGTGCCAGTGCAGTGTCTGTGTGTTCCATCCTTAAGGTCAACTACAGAGACACAAGTAGGTCTCCAGAACCTCACAGTCTGTTGCTTTGTTCACCAGGCACCACTAAAATATATATAGTTGGCTACCACAGTCAGGCAAGCAGTCCCAATAACATTATTTTATTTTCTAGCTCATCCCCTTTGCACTCTCCTTCCACTAAGTTTACCAGTTGTGTTAGAAGTTTAAGACACAACATTTTATTCTTCCCGTCTGCTTTGGCAGCTTGGCAGAAGGGAAAGCAAATATGCATGTAAGCAAAAAAAGGAAAGATGCACAAGATGCAGGACAGCCATTTAAGATACCTGTGTCTGTTAAGGCTTCTTGGTGGCTGGAGGGATTTTTGTTCTTTTAAAACTAGTTGAACAAAGAGTTTTTATTTTTGATTTAGGAATGGTACTATGAAAGCTTAAAGAACAAGAATTTGTTGAACTTTGAATAACTGAGCCAATGTGAAAATTCTTAAGAGTAATGTGTTTAGGATATATAAGCTTGCTTCTTAAAAGTACAGAATTGCCAATTTGTGTGTATATATCAATCTGAGTATGTCCACACATACAGATCTTTCCAAATCTGAGTTATAGTTTTACCACTGACTTATTTTGTGAGGCTAGAGAGGTCACTGGAACTATTTCCAGAACCTAATCACTCATTTTGATTGCTTCCTTTTATAGGTGTCAGCAATCATGCCTGATTTCTAAAAATGTTTGGCAGCAGTGGCTACTCAGCATTTCTGAGGTCCACCCTACCTTGGTCCTATGTGCTTTTAAAAAGGTGAACCTTAGATTCTTATTTCCCAATTGCAACCTAGTCACAGCAATACTTACTAATGCTACTGTAACAATTAATTAGTTAAATTTTAAAAGCATAGGTAAGATGAAAATATACATGTTGTTTACTGTGGTAATGAAACTTCCTGGCTTGCCACACATTCTTGTGTTTACTCAGTTGCATACCATAGGCTCTAATATTAAGCAAGGATGATAATATGCTCTTTATTTAAAATAAATGCTTATACAAAAGCTTTAAAATTATCACCATGACGCTCCCTAGTAAAAAAGTGCTAATCGGCTTTTAGCCAATTATGAAATCGCAGTGCCGGACTGACCTCATAAAAAATTCTTACAATACCGCCTGTAGGGAACACCTCAAAACAAAACTGATGAAAGCAACCCCCCTGTGTCAAAACACAGTATTTTAATCCTCCTTCCAAGAAGGAGACTTCGTGAACGGGCTCCCCCCCTCTTCATGGGCAGCACCTCACGACAGCACCGTACCGGCTGCATGCAGCCAGCCAGCGGAAGCGAACCGCCGCCCGCCGGGCCCCCGCGCCCCGCCCGGCCCGGCCGCCCCCTCAGGCGCGGCTCCGCTCACGTTCCGCAGCGCTTCCCGCAGCCGGGCTGGGCTGGCGCGGCGGGGCACGGAGAGGCGGCACCGGCCCTGCCCGCCCGCGCAGGCCGCTCCGGTGACTCAGGGGCGGACCCGGCCACACTCTGCTTCCTGCGCGGCGTCCCTCCGCTTCCTCCCGGCAGGCCCCGGTTTGTAGTTCGGGGTCCTGCCGTAGGCAGGCGCTTGTCCTCCCCGCTCCTCCTCCCGCCGGGCCGGCTCCGGCAGCTTCCCGGAGCGCGGCCATACCGAGTGCTGCTGCCGCCACCGCCCCGCAGGCGAGCCGGGGGCTCGGGTTGTCGGGCGGTCGCTCCGCCCCCCCGGGCGCGCCAGCATCCCTCCGCAACACGGCCCCTCCGCGGTGCGCAGGCGCAGCCCGGCAGGACGGAAGTGAGAGCGGCGCGTGGGCCGGCGGCGACGGGAGAGGGGGAGCGCTGCAGCTCCGCTCCGCCCCGCCCGGCACGGCGCGGCCCGGCCCGGCCCCGGGAAGATGCTGCCCCTCTCCATCAAGGACGATGAGTACAAGCCGCCCAAGCTCAACCTGCTCAGGAAGGTGTCGGGCTGGTTCAGGTGAGGGGCGCGCGGCGGGCCGGGACGGGACAGGCGCCGTGGGGGTCGGGGCCGAGTCCCCGCGGCGAGGCTGATGCCGAGGGCGCCTGGGCCGTCCGGCGAGCGGGGCCCGCGCTGCACCGCCGCTCCCCGTGCTGTGCCGGCGGCGGGTGACCCGCTGTCTGCTCCGTGCGCAGATCCATCCTGGCGGACAAGACCTCTCGCAACCTCTTCTTCTTCCTCTGCCTCAACCTCTCCTTCGCCTTTGTGGAGCTGCTCTACGGCATCTGGAGTAACAGGTACCGGGGCGCGGCGGGGCGGGAGCGGCGCCCGGCGCGCAGGAAGCGGCGCCTCCCGCCGCGGGCAGTGCCACGTCTGCTGGTCGGAGGGGCCCGCTCGGGGCGTGCGGCCGGGCCGGGCCTCCCGGAGGGGTCGGTTGGCGGAGCCGGGGGCGCTGCTGAGGAGTTGTCCCCGACTGGGAGCGCTCCGGTGGGGAGCGACCGGCTTCGCCGTTCCCCTCCGCCGGCTCCCAGCGGCTCGGGCCGGGGAGGGGGGGGTGCAGTGTGGCGCGGCTGGGCGGCGCGGCTCGGTGTGTTATGGAGGAATGCTGTTTGAAACCGGTGTCTTGCCGGCCGTGCTGCTCGGCTCTGTGCTGGAGGAGGAAGCCTGGCCTCGGCGAGGGTTACAGGACCTAAGGGCTGCAACCCTTCCGAGCCTGCCGCTTGCCACCGAGATCCTTTGTCTGGGAATGTGACTTCGTTTGTAAGGGGATGGCTGGGTGGCAAAGCCCGGCATTGCACTGAACAGCCCTGCCTCTGAGTGAAAAACGGGAATAAGCATATCCTGGTATAGCTAAGTGGTACATTATGTAGCACGTGAGTTCAAATAGGTGGAAAAAACAAGAGGGACTTGACTAAGTTGCTACTGAAGTAAAATACAAGCAGAAATGCAAAACAACTTTAGTACTGATGTGTTGCGCACAGGTAGAGAACAGACAGTGGCAGTAGTATCTCCACCATGCTTCATTCTTGACTGAGTTGTTTTACGGTGGTATTTTGCTCTCTAAGTCAATACTTCAGTTCGACCTGGACAGGTGTGGAAATGTCATTTAAGCCCAACAGTGTGTCCTTTCACGTGGAACTTAAAGTAGTCTTTGTTAAAAGCTGTAATATGGACACAGATTACTGGGACTCTTGAATAAGAGTCTTGAGTGAAAGCAGCAATGCAGATTTGGAAACAGTTGCATCCTACTATTTATCATTTTTTTCTGAATCCCTCCAACTGTACTATAAAATCCTTAACCTTGATTATAGTCATTGCTACTGTAGCACTAGTGAGAACACGGTGCTATCCTGGGCACAGATTATCTTGGCAATGTGCAGACCGTCTTGGATGGTCTTGGTTATTACTTTGATGTTAATTCACTTTGCAATTGTGTGAGGATTGTTGTATGCATCGCCTGTTTATTCAGGTACGGATATATTAGTAGCTCGGAAAATGCAAATATTTTTCTCAGTGCTTCAGATGTAAAGAGCTTTATGTTCATGTGTGTTTGTTCTCATGTCTTTCTTTTAACCGTAATAATTTTTTTTGGTAATGTGACCAGATATTAAATTTATGCCATACAAAGTCCTGTATATGAGATAATTAAACTGACAAACTGAAGTGACACCTGCTGGAAATTTGTCACTGAAGAATTGGGTTTACTGGAATTGGGAGGGATATTACTTGTTTGCTATAGAGATTAAGCATTGGGGTTTGCTGCAAAGTTATTAGTTGGACCTCTTGTTTATATTTCAAGTCACTAATTTAAAGTATTTTTACATTAAGCCTAGATTTTGGGCTAGAACAAAACATTATCTTAGCAAGTATTTCTTTAGTAGAGAGGAGTAGCAGGGCATATAATAAGGAATTCCTTCAGTCAAAGCAGAGAGTTCATGGCTTGGAAGAACAACCACATAACAAGCAAACAAGGAGCCCTCTGGGGGAAAATTATTTCCTGAGTTTGAAAAACACAGCTCCTTTGCTCTCCATGTGAGACATGCAGAAACTGAACATTTGTAAAGGGGTTTTTATGTATCATCTTGGCACACTTTTTTATTCCACTGTGACCTGTCTTGGGTATGGCTGGTGCCTGATGCTACAAGTGTTAAAAGGATGATCTTGAATTCTGTTCTCTCTAGTGTCCTTGATAATGTCAGTGAATGTAAGATAGCAAAACTAACAAGCTGCCATGATTATTCAGATGATTCTTCCCTCTGCTTCCACAGACTAAGGAATTTATTTTTAATTGTGCTTCTGAAAAGTACACCTTTATCCATTTAAATTTAAGCAGGTTTCTATGAATTCTTTGACTAGGATTTTCTTATTTTACAATCAAATCTATTATTTCAGCCCCAAAATTTTTGTTGGCAAGTTTCAGAAGTCTTCAATTTTTTTTTTTTTTTTTAATTCTTGCAACTTAGATTCTCCTTAGCTTTTGTTTATCAAATAAGTTTTTTCCTGAACTCAAATAGCTGTTTTGCCATTTATATGATCCTGTTCCAGGTACTGTGGTATGTTGATGGTCTTGAAGCACAGACAATAGAACTGGATGTGGTATTTTGCTAGCTGAGAGCTTGTTTCAAGTTGAAATCTGCAACTTGGGTTGTTATGTTTTAAAATAGTATTACATGCATACTTGTATACTTTGGTATTGAACTTCTGCTATTAAATCAACTATGGAAGCTTCCTCATTTAGACACAATGTGTTTGAGTATAGGGTTTCTGTTAGATTGTGGTCTGGATGATGTGTTCCAGTTCTAATGAAGTTCTTGCATACATCCCTGTTGCTAGTGGTTGACTGGATCACTTGTTTACTTTGGTAAACACGTGGCACACAGTTTTTGAAGGTCTCATTCATTTACAGGTCATTTTAAAAAAGCCTCAGATTAAATCAGATTGGCCTCTTACTACACTTCCTATTGTTTGTGCAGTTGAATCGCTTATAGCTGTATCTATAATACAGAGCATCTTTATGCCATGTGGTGAATGGCATTGCAGACACAGTCTGTACTAACCTCTGTTGATAAATCCACATGGCTCTCTCTACCTGGGAGATGTTACCTTAGGTCTTGAAAGCAGCACAGCTGTGTTGGTGTTGCACCTATGGTAATTTGTGCCTCTGAGATTACAGGTGTGAGCACAGTACCATGATAACTTGCTGTATGATTTCTGGTTCTAGAGCTAGTATGGGATTTTGTTTCAATAACAGTCCTTATACACTTATTCCCAGAAGATTCTATACAAAAAAACCCCTCAGAAACCAAGAGCTATCTCTGTTTAGTCATGCTTATTCCTTCCATTTCATAATCATTACAGATTTATGTTACTGTCACCTTAATTACCTTCCACCTGAATGTTTGGTGTGTTTTGTGTAGTGTTTTTCCCCACTGGATCTTCCTTACTGCTCAGAACCAAACCTGAAGTGAGCTGTTTTCCTGGGGATGTCACCTGATTTTGGGAAGGGGGAAGCTGTCACCTACACCCTTCAAGGATTCGTTAGGGAATTCCATTCTGCTGTTTCATAGGCATCTAGCGAAAACTTCTGGTCTTCCTTTACAGTGTGTTCAGAACAACGTAATCTGTTTCCTATTTTGGTGGCTAGAGCACCTAAGGATAATTTGTGATGCCATCATCCTCTGCCTTAAATGTGTAACAGTTGCATGTATATATACCTCTGTATGTGTCCATAAAGTATATATGTAAATATAGAGAGAGATCAAAACTTTTGTTGTCTGTCCTCTCCTCCAAACCCACTTCTTCCACTGTTTTATCTGAAACACTTCAGATTAATCTTAACATTTATTTTAGTCAGGCTGAAATAGCTGGGTTTCTTAATGTAGAGTTCAAACTACTTTGACTAATGAAACTATATTTGACTTCAGTATGAAAACATGGCTGCTCTCTAGAACTTGTTACTACCAGTAATTGTTTTTTGTTCTTCAATTTCCAGGAGGTGACTGTGTATGTAATTGTTCTTAGATAACCAAAAGATTGGGAAAATGAAAATTTTGGGGCAATTGTAACAAATCCTCATTAGTACCTCTATATCAAGTGTATTTTCAAATTGGAAGCAATTTTTGTGTTTCGATGCACGTTCTTCCTTGCAGACTTACAGAACCTGTCTATGATTGGTAATTTAGTAAAATATGGCAACTGTTGTGTGTGGTGTTAGATCCAATTTACATACAGCCTACAAACTGACATGAGTTCTACTGACTGGGTAACTCGTGAACTAATTTAAGTTGCTTTGAACTTTGTAGGGTAAAACAGCATGCTAAACTCTGGTGTATGTCAATCAAGATAGTAGTTGTGCATTGGTCATTGAAATAAACAATTTAAGCGGTCTTTTAGCCTCTGCTTCCTTCAGCTTCTAGATCAAAGGAGAGTGTGTGTCTTCTAGTCAATGCCTTGCAGCTGGTAAGGCAAAGATTTAAATACTGGTAAGGTTTACAAGCAGTGGCTTATCATTGTTCTAATACCACTCTCATTTTTGAATGGGAATTAGCTTGGATCCATTCAGCTGAAAACACAGATAGAACAAATATTTGTTTGCTTTTATTTCTGTGTGGACATGTTCCAGTCAAACTAGAAGAAGAATAATGGTGGTCACCAGCAAAAGGAGCAAATGATAGCTAGGTTAACACTCAGCAAAATGAAGAAGCAGCCATCTGTAGCAACTTAGCACTCTTGTCCACGTTTTTATTTTTAAAAATAATTCAAAGAGCTCTGTGCTCTCAGGAGTACTACTGTTGCTTCGTTTGATTCAGTGTAGCTTCACCACAGTATGTTAACCTTGGATGTGTGTGATCCTAGTAGAGATCAGGGTGTTGGAAACCTTGCTTTTTGATGGGTTAGTGTATACTTACCCCTCTTTCATAATAGTATGTGATACTGATAAAAAACTAGATGCATCTTAGATAAATTCTATACCTGTTTATGAATCAGGCTAACACATTGGATGAAGGTTTGTGATTGGAAATTTTGAGACTGAGCAGTAATAAATTAAAAAGAATGTAGGTGTGGTGCTTTGGCAGTGTAGTCAAGGACTGGCTTCTCCACTCAGGTAAAACATTAAAATGGATGTAAACATAAAAGATGGCTCTTTAGGAAAAGTATGTAGCAGTCAAAAGTACTTAACAGTGTTTGCTGTTCTGCTTTTATTTCTGGCAAAATACAATATGATCTTAGAATTCCCTGTGTACTCAAATTCCATATTTTCAGTGTGCCCTACTCATAAAAAGTGTCAAGTTATTGCAGTGTGAATGGACATCAAATAAATTCTTATCTGATAATGCATTAGTTCTGAAATAAGATGCTTGAGAGGAAAACTGCTATGCCAAAGCAGACTTCACAGTCTTGGAACATTTGATATAATAAATGGAAGACTTCGATCTTTACAGGCCTAAAATATCTTGTCACAGGCATACATCTGTAAAAATTTTATGAAACTGTTTTTTGATTCATTGGGTTTTTTACTGCAGACATAAAGAATTTTTGACCTATTTTCCCAGTGTGTGAAAACTCTTCCAAAGTATCAAGTTTGAAAATGGATTTGAGAATGTTGCTTCTGTAAATGCTTAGTGCCATTGCTATGGTGGTATTGGTAGTCTTAAGCAGAACAGTTTTAGTGTTACTGTACTAGTTCTCCTATATAATAGACTCAAAAGCAATATCTTCAAACCCAATTTTCTTTTTTTTAACTAGATGAGAAATACTACTTTTACAAACTTACGTGGGGTTAGTGTTCAAATGCAGTTTGCATGTATACAGTTTTCCAGTCAAATTTTCTCACATGGTTAAACTATAAGTCAAAATACGAGTATAAATGTGCTACTAGAATTGTGAGAGATGTGGCCATGGACATATCTACCCAAGGGACTTTGGTTTGTGTCGGTGGAGACCACCATCCACTACCACCAAGATCATATACTAGGGGGATTTTTTGACAAGTGCTCTTGCAAAGTGCCTTCCCTAAGATGTCAACATATTTGTGTTGATCTAGTGTAGATTTCTCATCAGTGCTAACAAATCCATGACTGAAGCTTAGACACACAGTGTATTCTGCTAGTGCATAAAAGATGAAATGCTGGGTTTTTTCGTACTTAACATGCAGCATATGGAACATAACACCTTTTTTTTTTTTCCCCCTGTTACTTTCCAGTTTAGGTCTAATATCAGATTCTTTTCATATGTTTTTTGACTGTACTGCTCTATTGGCTGGATTAGCAGCTTCAGTAATTTCAAAATGGAGGTCAAACGATGCTTTCTCATATGGGTAAGAAACTTCAAGCTGTTACCTTGATGTATTTTAGTAAATGTCTAGGTAGTAATTTTTCACTGTATGAGCAAAACCTCTTTTTTAAAACATGGAAAAGCTATGTTGAAAGTGTGCTTTTTTTCTACGGTGAGTTATGTAAATCTTTAAGTTAATATCCTCCTAGAAATAGTGAAAATATGAAGGCATAGCTTTGGAGGAACAGGTTCATCACTTCTAAGATATTGCTTACTGTGCTAGTGGAAACAAGTTACACAGCAGAAAATTGCCCTGCGCTGTCGTGTCAGTGACACCAGTGAAGTAAGAGCAGCTGTGTCATGGGTTCATCCTCAGAGTGCAGTGAGGTGCATTATAGGCAATCTCAAACTGCTGGTGCCCCATGCTGCCTTTGAAACAGAAAATTACAACTGAAAGGAGCTCAGCTGTGGTGATGCTGCACCTGAGATTTCTCAAGACCAGCAAGATGTAACAGCTGTGGCTACCATTAGTGCAGATCCTCAAGGCTGATGAGGTGTGTCATCCCATACCACCCTTCATGGATAAAGCTGCTGCAGCTGATTCTGTTCCAAGGACACTTGCCTCCACTGCACACTGCAGTTGTGCCCCATAAAACAGTACTGGTGATAGAATATTATTAATTGGTGATACTGATTAATTAACAGCAAATGAGTTGTAACATGGGTTGCTTCATTCCCCGTGGCATTACTGACCTGAGTGTCAGCATTTAGCTTCAGTTTTCTTGCCTAAGCATGGATCAGGTAGTTTGAAATTTAAAGTGCTGCCTAATTAAGTTGGAAACTCCAGTGTGCCTAGAAGAACTGACTGTACCATGAGCTAAGTGCAATGAAAGCAGGTTCTGTATTAATTACTGCTCTGCATTTAAACAGCTGGTGTTCCATTTATTAGACAACAGCCACAATTTATTAAGTCTGAATTGCTACATTGGAATTACATGTTATTCTAACCTGGCTGGTTTTTATTTGAAAAAATTAGTAGCTGAATTCATTTCATATACTTGTGTGTAGTTTATATACTACATTTTCCATTTAGAAAACCCCTGTGTAATGTAACTGTTTGAGATCTAGAAGACTGTACTCTGGTCTCTAAGTTCCACTTTTCATTTTTAGCATTTAAATGGAGGTGGTAATATCTGCTATTGCTTTTTTGTTTCTTGCAGGTACGTTCGAGCAGAAGTACTTGCTGGTTTTGTAAATGGTTTATTCCTCATCTTTACAGCATTCTTCATTTTTTCTGAAGGTGTTGAGGTATGCTATGAAGTCAGTTGCACTACCAATTGTCAGATTTCTATTTGTAGAGCATATTTAATGGAGATAAAATTTTTAAAATTTATTACTTTCATAATTGGTTAAAAATCTGTGATTTGAACAGAGAATAGGACCATCTGAAATTGCTCTTTTGTGACACAGAAACTCAGCTTTTTCAGTGTATCTGTACAATCGTCTTAAATAGTGTATTTTAATTGTGCATAAAGATTCTTTGAGATTCACCCTGTCCTTTTTTCAGCTAATTAAGTATGTCATAGAAAGATCTTTACATATCATTGTTAAAAGGACAAATGAGGCCAAGAAAGAAAGGCCAAAACTAGTAATTCAGATAAGTTAGTCATAAGAAATGGAAATACATTCTGTGAAGAAGTAGAACTAACTCATTAAAGAAAGAGCATTATTTTCCAAATCTTGAAGTCTGATATAAATGGCAAGTAGTAATGGCTTTAACATTTACAAGGTTACTGTTCTTGAATTATTTTTTTTGTACAAGATGGTTCAGGTGATAATTTCAAGACTAAAATTTAGACATCAATGGTGTCTGCACTGAAGTGAGGTAGGAATAAGTGAAATTGATAACTGATTCTGATCAGCTAGCATTAATGCTTTTACTTGTTAATGAGATGTGCTAAAATTTTGTTTAGACTTCCAGTTCAGAACACATTCTAGTGGTTTGTTTTTTTTAATTAATGGAGAACTGGGATCTTTCAGGAACATATCCTCTACATAGATAAGCCTGTAAATACTTCAAAATCAGTATAAACTGTGCTGAATTTGCTTAAAAGCTTGTGAAAACTTCACTCCAAATCTAGAAACAGCAACAAACCTTACTAGAAAAATTAAAAGCTACTACTGGAAGGATTAAGGGTCATGTTGAAATATCACTCTTTTCCTTCTGGTCTTAGCTCTTGTGCTAAGTATTCCCCTTGCTTGTGATGGTGACTCAATTTTTCTCTGTCACTTCAAAAGTTAACATCTGCTGCAAGTTTTATTGTCTTGCTATTGCCTGTATCTTTCATCCCTGTAAACAGATGGTGAATGTTTCTCTCCCCTGTCAATAGTAATGTACACTCTTCAACATTTGACTTCAGATGGTGTTAGGCCTACAATGTCTCATTAAAAAAACTTTCAAAGAAAGTAGGGGAAAAAAGAATTATCAATCTAGATTTTAGAAGTTTTGAAAAATGCCACAATTTATTCTCAGTCTTCATTTCATTCACTTGTCTAAGGAGGAAGGAAGAAATAATATTCTAGACTCTTGGAAGTTTGGATGACTTGTGCAATCCACATACTGCAACAAACTTGAACGTTTTCATATGGTGTTGAGCCACAACCCACAGTATAATGAAATCTTATGACAAAAGTTAGCTAGATTATCAAAGTATTCTACTATACTTTCACAGCTTTTATTATTAAAGCTTTAGTCAGTAAGAATTAGTCAGTGTACCATCTTAAAAACTGAAAGTCTGGAGTAACTTCTAATTATGTCTTTATATATGACTATATGACAGTGCTGCTGTATCTAAGCATTTTTTTCAGTGCCTTTTAATAATGTAAAGAGATTGTAAACCTCTACATTTACTTTTTGGTTTGTTGATTTTTGTTTTGGTTTCTTTAGAGAGCACTTGAGCCTCCTGACGTGCATCATGAGAGACTTCTTCCTGTTTCTATACTAGGATTCATTGTAAATCTTATAGGAATATTTGTTTTTCAGCATGGAGGTCATGGGCATTCACATGGCTCTGGTAGGATGTCTGTAATATTCAGTAGTTTCCTTTCTTGGTGCTCTGTGTTCCAGGACCTTAATGATTAAATTTTCATGGCTCTTTTTTTAGTGGCAATCGTAGGCAAATGTGTATGTGACTTGTTGCGATATTGTCTTTTATGTTTTATCACTACCCCTAGTATGCCACTACTGCGCTTCTCATGTTAATATCCATGAACTGGAAGACCTAGAACTCCAGAATCTGCTTTCTGGAACATGCACTCTTCTGCACCTAATTGGAAGAGGTTTTCAGAGTGTCTTTTGGACAAAATTAAGCTGGAGTTCAGTGAGATCTTGGCAGGAACGTTTACAAAAGAGTGTCTGAACCAAATTTTAAGTATGGCATGACTCAGCTTCAGGTGCTTCTCAGCTTAGTGTCTTTTGAATTTAAATGCAGAATTTATTTGTCTAAGTAGATGTGGTAAACTTTTTTTTTTCCTGTAAAACTAATTGTTACCTCTTTCGGCTTAACATATAAACTGATATAGACTGATGGAAGAAAATAGGTTTTGGTCTTTAAGCAGCAATTTAAGCTTTAATTTTTAATGTGTGAAGGGTAGTCAATAGGTGTGTATAGTGTACAGCTGCACAGCATAGATTTAGATGACAGTTTGTGTTAATTTTCTAAATGTATTTAAAGCCATACCTTAAGATCACCTAAAAGATTAGTAGGTTTTGAGAAGCTTAAAGAAATGTAAGCGTACTTTTATACAACATTGAAGTTTATACTCTAATGGTGATATTTGTTTATAGGGCATGAACACAGCCATTCTCTATTTAATGGTGGTCTCAGCCATGGGCACAGTCACGGAGGTCATGGTCACAGCCATGAACATAAACATGCCCACGGACACACTCATGATCATGGCCATAGCCATGGACACTCTCATGGTCAGGATTATTGTCATGGTAAGTACTTTGCTAATGTCACAGACCATCCTGACTCAATTAAAATTTGCTATTAAGGTTTTACTGAGGGAAAAAAAAAAAAAAAAAAAGAGGGTCCTGTAGCTTGTTGTGAGCGTACATGGAAGTAGTTTCACTAAATATGTGGGTATGCCATGCCACTGCCATGTCTTGTGGCTCTTTTTGGTAAATGCTGTTTCACTTGCAGTAAGTTCAGTGTTAGTTTTTAAAAGTTTTGCTTTACCTACAGTTTTTTGAATGTTCACCATAATGTTATGTGTTAGCAAAAGATAAAACAGATGTATGCTATAGCAATATAATGAAATTAGTTATCAAGTGCTCTATTTCAATTTTTCATTAAAATTGATAAAGGTAAGCTGCTTTGCTAGTGTTCTTCATTTGAACAATTTTACAGATCAAGATGTTATGAGTTATGAACAAGCAATTTGATTGTGGGTACTTAGAGATTGATATGTCATGCTGGGTTTGTGATATCAAATATAAGATTTTGCCCATCTTGTGTAGCTGTAATCTGTTTTTAAGTTGGTTATGAGAAAGTTAATTGGTATCTTGGCTATGCTTACATCTTTTCTATAAAGGTAAAACAATCTGTGAAGGGATGTCATGCAAAACATGATCAGTAACCTTCACTATGGGAAAAGAGACAGTGTGGTTATTACTTATTTGAAACAATGCAAATAAAAGCTGTATTGTAATGCAGGATTGTCAATTCTTCCTGCCTAAGCCATAAACAAGAATCAGATGTGACAGAAAATGTGTGTTCAGAGCAGAGAATAGTATGGTAACTTGTGGATAGGAGGTGACGAAGAGTATAAAAATATTTACTTGTCCCTTCCTTGCTATTTTTAATAGAAAATTGGTGCTTGTTTTCCAAGTGTTCTCCTAGAGTCTGACTGACTGCCTCTTCCTTGTTCTCTACATGCCTCCCCACCCCAGTGGAACAGGGAACGTAGCCATCTGTTTCGTGTAATTTGATATTCAAATCAACTTTTGCATAAATTATTATATATCTTCACTAGAAGTAATTTGCTGTGATTTAACAAGTTTTTCTTAAAATATCTTTCTGACGTGTTTCAGAGAGGAATTAATTTGGATGAGAGGATTTTTTGACTTAGTTCCACCTTGTCCAAGTCTTATCCTTGTTGTTTTGCATTAGGTATAAATGCTTGCTTAAGTGGTGTTTTCTTAAAAAACATGTTTTAAGACTTTCACCTTAGTTGCTGTATTAAGAAGCAATATCTAGGGTAAAAGCTAGTCATTGTGAGCAGCTTGTCCAAGAAATTTCGGAAAGGGAGACCATAACAGAATATACCACTAGAGAGAGCCTTTGCGTAGGTTAATATTCCAATAATTTTCTTCACAGATGACCATTCTCTTGAAGGGATGGCTGGATCCAGCAAACAGATTTTACAAGGTATGATGAGAATAAGTATAGTGGTTTGAGTTTTATCATGGTCTGCCTGGCTGTGACTGTCACACATCTGTTTTAAAGGGTGTCTCTGGGTAAATGCTACATTTTTCTTAAGAGGAGTGATTTTATGAAGTCTTCTTCTACCTGTAAACAGAGCAGTGCAATACCCTGTGCATAGCTAGACATTGAGACATTCACTGAAGTCTAAATATAATTCATTGTCAATACAGTTTAAAAGAGAGATCCCAAGGGCTGGAATTCAGCTTTTGCTACTGATGCTGAAAAATCAAATAATAAAAATCTAGGAAAGAGTGGCTAAAAGCAGAAACTTAAGGAGCCTAATTGCAGTGTCTGCTCTGGAAAGTTAAAAGTGTTGTTATTAAGATAGAATGTACGTGAAAAATGTAGATTGATTTATTTGTTAAATGGTACCTTAGCTTAAATCTCGCATTTCATCAAGCTATTACAGTTGGTTTAAACAAGATGGTAATTCACTCTAAATTGTTTGAAGGAGTATTAGAGTCCATGATCTGAGCATTAGTATAAATAAATTACTGATAATTTAAATACCAGTTTTGATTAATTATTTTTTGAAATGTTCAAAAGTTAGAGGGGAAAAAATTATGTAATGAAAGAGGTAGTAGTTATTTGGCATACCCAAGTGTACATACTATTTTCTCTTATTGGATGGTCTTCTGACTTGTTTGTAATCCTCGAAAACGAACATTTTCAACCTCTCACAGAATATATATTAAACCATACTAGGTGTATGTATACTCAGTACTTCAGCAGAAGATATTTGAAAGTCAATCTTTTCATGAGAGGCACATTTTAATTGAAGCATATTAAAAATACGCCAAAATATGTCAATGTTATATGATTTTATTTTACTTTTTCAATACTGTGGTGGGTTGGCTCTGGTCAGCAATTAAGCACCCAGCAGTTCCTCCCTCACTCCTGCAGTGGGACAGGGAAGAGAATTAGAGGAGTAAAAGCAAGAACTAGCCTTAGATTGCGATGAAGATAATTTAGTAAGTGAAGGGACGGTGGAGGGGGAAAGAAAAACGAACCCCAAGTGATGCAAAGATGTTGTGGTTTAACCCCAGGCAGCAACTAAGCACCAGGCAGCTGCTTGCTCACTCCTGCCCCCTCCCAGTGGGAATGGGAGGAGAATCAGGAAAAAAGGTAGAACTCGTGGGTTGAGGTAAGAGGAGTTTAGTAACTGGAATAAAATAGAATAAAATATAATAATTGTAACTAATTTTTTTTTTTTTAAAAAGGAGAAATAAAGCCAAAGAAAAAACAAGTGATGCACAATGCACTTGCTCATCACCTGCTGACTGATGCCTGAGCAATAATCTGCGCACACACACACACCCACCCAGATAACTCCCCCCAGTTTATATACTGAGCATGATGCCCTATGGTATGGAATATCCCTTGGGCTAGTTCAGGTCAGCTGTCCTGGCCGTGCTCCCTCCCAACTTCTTGGGTACCTGCTCACTGGCAGAGCATGGGAAATGGAAAATTCCTGAACTTAGGATAAGTGCTACTTAGCAACAACTAAAACATCAGTGTCTTATCAACATTAATCTCACACTAAATCTAAAACACAGCACTGTACCAGCTACTAGGGAGAAAATTAACTCTTATCCCAGCCAAAACTAGGACAAAAGACAATTGCTCACCACGTCCTACCAGCAGACCAGTGCCTGGCCAGTCTCTGAGCAACTGTTGATTTTGAAAAGCTGCTCCTCAGTTTTACTGCTGAGTGAGATGCTTTATGGTATGGAATATCCCTCTGGTCCGTTTGGGTCAGCTGTCCTGGCGATGTGCCCTCCCAGCATTTCGCACACCCCAGCCTGCTTGCTGTGGGGGCAGAGTGAGAAACAGAAGGCCTTGATGCTGTGCAAGCACTGTTGGCAGCAGCTAAAACATTGGTGTGTTGTCAAGGCCGTTTTAGTCTCAACTCTAAAACACAGCATCATGCAGGCTGCTATGGAGAAAACACAACTCCATCCCAGCCAGACCCAGTACAAATACAGACTTGGGAAAATCACGGAATAGCTGATTTATAGTTGTGCATTGGTTTTGTGAGGAGGGATTAACTGAGTTTGGAAAATTGTATTCACAAAGCTGTTTTTGAATGACTGTTCCTGTCATTGCCAGCAGAGAGCTCCAAAGGCTTAATTTTAGCTAACTTTAGTAAAGTGCTCGTTTCTTTGTCTTTTTAAGGTAGTGTGTTCTTATTCAAAATAAGAGTGAAGTTGTTCATGTCTGCATTATTTTAATTCTCAGAATCATTTCTCTTGGATTTCTTTGCCAAATAGCTTCTACAAGATATTGTGGATAAGACATTAGCATATTTCAAAGCTTTACAGAACTGTTTCTGTTAACAGTGTTTCCATCTTACGTAATACTTACCATTGCTTATAGACATCAGGGAGCATAAGTTTCTTTACTGTAATATTGGGTGGGTATTGAATAATAAAAAAAAAAAAAAATAGCTATTCCTGTTAATCACTGCTTAAGTTGATAGCCATGCCACAGAATACCTCTTACTGTTAGGTGCAGAAAATTATGTGAGTTCTTCAAATGCTCTATATTTCATAAATATGTTGAAATCCTGTGATCACTTTCGCTGTGTTTGATCAAAAAGTAACCACAGATTTAACAAGTGTAACTCATGTTATCTAGTTCTTGCAACTCTTCTTCATGAACTGTCTTTGAAATACTCCATTAGCTTTAAGAATACCAAGTTGTAATGCTATTGTTTAATCTCTTACAGGTGTATTTCTACACATTGTTGCAGACACGCTTGGAAGTATTGGTGTAATCATATCTGCTATACTGATGCAGAACTATGGTCTAATGATAGCAGATCCTATTTGTTCAATGCTGATAGCACTTCTTATAGGTGTAAGGTAAGCATTGCTATCACTGGTATTTGGTACTACTTTTGATGCTAGTTACAGCACAAATTACAGCTCAAGAAAAGGTTTGCCTGTTAGGTTCATGACTTACGACATTTATTTCTCTTCCAAGAGTGATGTTACCTCTGTTCAGTACAGCTGTTCTGATGTGCTCTTACATGACCTATCTTTCTTTTCCTTTTCTACAGCTACAGCTTTTGCTCTTAAATCTGTGTATTTTACCCCTGTTTGCATAATAGTACAGAAGTGTCTTTCAGATTCAAACTGTAGAAAGCTTCCTCTCTGTATTTAGTACACGCTTACATAAACCAATGTGCTCCAGTAAATGGAGCAGAATGGCTTGAGGGCAGCAGAGTTAAGTCTCCTGGCACAGGATGTGCCCTTGTCCTTGACAAATGAAGGCTGGTAATTTTTATTTTTTTTTTCCTTAGTAAGAACTGTCATTTCCTTTGTATTCTGAGACATCCTCAATAGTTTTAAGATCTGATGGAAGTGCTTCAAGTAGTTCTGGACTTTCCCGGTTATTGCTTACCAAGAACACTGTAAATGTGAGCTCTTTGGACTAGGCTGGACAAGCAAGCATTTCATTCAGCAGTGCTGTTATTGAGGCTTTTCTGGCAGCAGTTTCAGTGGTGGCATAGGGCAGAGTGCCGCAACTCCAGTTACAACCTAATAACTGAACACCTTTGTCTCTTCAGCAGTGTGAATGTCATCTGATTAACTGCAGCTACCTATGTTTATACCATATATGGCATGTTTATACCATATGCATGGCAGCATTCACAGAATTATTGATGTGAATCTCCCTATTTACCAGAGTAGGGCAACGTGCTTCAGGCACTAAATGCCTACAGAAATCTGTGTGCTAGAGATCACTATTAAATTACCACTTTAATATCAACTTAATATTTTGACTTAAACGTCCTGTAACTTTATAAAGGAGAAATTATTACAAATTCTATTACTGGAATCTCAAAAAATGGTAAAGAAAATGTGCAGGTCACCAAGGGGGAAGAAACTACTATTGAGGTAATAGCTGAGTAAAACACAGCTTTCCATATATTTTGTGTATTAAGGATCTAGCTTTGTGTGCAGCAAAGCACATGTAGAGTGCTGATCAGAAAATACCATGTGAATGAGAATTTTTTTTTACTTCCATTCGTACAGAGGTTGGAAGAAGACTGCCTTCCATGACAGAGGTTTCATAATGAAGCCCCTTATAGGCCTTCTGGCATAATTAGGAGGAATATCTGAGGTTCATGCTCTATGGATATCCTGGAGAATTCACTGTTTGATGTGTTTTTTTGACCTGATACCAGACTTCAGCCTGTAACATTGTTTTGTTGGTCCATGACTCTATAAATGATCTTTAGAATCACTATGCTGAGTGCAGTCACCTACGTCATAGTAGAAGCAAGCCTGGATTTCTTGCAGACTGGCATGTCCTGACACAGCAGTGAAGTAAACAGTATTTGCAGGTTTTTTCTTTTTTTTTTAAGCAGTCCAACAGACTTAACTACTGATGGCTTTGCTTGAAATGCACTTAAACAAGATTATAAACAAGATGCTTGTCAGTTTCATAGGGATATTCTTTGAGAGCTTGAGTCTCCTCTTGTGTTGTTTGACTTACACTTCTGGACATAAAACCATTGTTTATTCTGCCTTATTCACTATGCTGTGTGTGTGAAGTGCTCTTCTAGAATATTGCAAAAGGCTTTTCAGATTTTCCCAAAAGGTGATCTTTTGTAACAGTAATATGGGGGCCCCACTGATGATTGCTAGGCTATATAATAGTTTTGTCTGTAATCTTTTTAAGTCACCTAAATCTAACCTAGTGAAAAGATTATACTGAAATTCTGTGAAATTTAAAAATTGAGGGGGAAAAATATTGTTTGCAAAAAGACTTTAAACTGATAGTGGTAAGAGTTGTGTCTAGTTTTTTTAATTGTTTGTTTGCTGATGAGGTGCATGTGAATTTGAGGTGGGATGGAGCAGGGTGTTCAGTATCTAGTACAGGGAGTCCCAGGCACTTCTGTGGGCCTATTTGCAACCTTGATAAATAGCTTGGGGGAGGGTGGGGTGGGGGAAAGGGATTTGGCTTTAGATCAAATAATTGTTTGCTGTTTCAGAGGTATACTTGTCAATTTTGCTTGTGTGGAGTAGCCCACTCGTGTCCCTTTTACTAGTTAAACCAACTTTTTATAAGGTGGAGTTGGTAAGAGTACATGTGTGCCTCAATAAGTGGACCCATGCATGTGTGTTTAGTCAGGATCTGTTCTTTGTGGCTGTAATAAGGCAAGCATAGTTTTGAATCAGAGATGCAAGAGCCAGTTTGATAAAGTTGTCCAAAAGTTTTAATGCTGTCTGGGGGCTTACCACTAGTTGGGACTGTAAATCTTTGCTTCTTTCAAATAGGGTTGTATAAAATCCCCGAGGTACTGTCTCTTCTTACAAGATTACTTTAGCTGATCGGTATAAGTCTAAATAGTAGTATGTTTTATTGCTGATCTTCCAAAGCTCTTTTTCATGACTCCACATTTTAAGTATAAGAAATTGTCTGCTTCCATTTTAATTAGCTGCATGGACCTCTGGTTCTACAGTAAATGTATTACTAACTGATGAACTAGCGCAGGCAATACTCTCCTTACTGCTGTTAATGTTAACCAACAGCTCAGTGAACGCAAAACCTTGAGCGTGGGTGATCTCCTATGTCTTTGAGTACTCTGAAGCTTTAAAATAGAGCAGTTGAAATGTCAAAAATGTGTATGGAAATGCTTTTGTTCTTGGCTGTCAACTTGTTATTTGGGAGGGAGACTTCTTTCCTAGGAAAATGTCTTTGTGTGTGTATATCTTTGAGCTCTTGTGCTGGCCTTCTGTCACTTGTTCTCAGATACCAAACTACTGTATTGGATTAAGGCTTGCTTATAGTACAGGTGCTTTTCTATCATCAGGAAAGTATTTTAGGAAACAGCTGTGAATACTTCAGGTGGCTACATGAGTATAAATCTGAAGTCGCAGTGGGAGAGGGGTCCAGACTTGATTCATTTCTGTTAATTTTTAGATAGCGAGGTTATACTATTCTGCATGTTACAGTCTTGAAACCTTGCTAATTGTATATGAAAATTAAGTATACATTGAGCAAAATATTTTCATAAAGTTGTAAAGTCCCAGTAAAATACAAACTGGCAAATGAATTTTTACTCACGTTGGTTGGTGGCTTTCTCCTCTAAGGGAAGTGTCCTCAGACCAGTCTAGGTTACGGTATCGCTTTGGATGTGTGTTTAGTCTAAGTAGTTTGTAGGCTTTCCAGCTGGAATAAGCTTGCATAGAGATAAATTAGGACAGAACTGTAGATGTAAATTTGAGGCAGGAGTCTTCTATAGGATAAACAGCCTTCCTGTAAACAGTATAATAAGGTACCTTCAAAGAAATTTTTGGATTCCTAACTTGAAAAACTAGTTTTCTTAATCAGTTGAACAGTCTGGGACACTGTCACTATTGGGCCTTGGGAAAGATTATATTCTTGCAATATGGTGTGTATCATTGGAAGTATGTATTCAGAAACATGTTTGAATTATTTTGAACAATAACGCGTTTATTTTCTGATGCTGAACCTTAGGTATATATCTTTAAAAGAGAAATTCTTGTTGTAATAGGTGCAGGAGGAGCAAAGATAATGGTGTGACAGTAGTTATGTATGTGGGTTTGAGAATAGTGAGAATCTATTCTGTCTTTTTTTATCAAATTACGTTGGCATGTTTTTTGGCCTGATGAGAGATTGTCATAGGAGAATCTAAGCTTTCATGTGGCATTATTGTATAACCAACTCATAGAATTTATGTTTTGTAAAGATACTATGATGCAAGTAGTACAAACTAATCTACAAATGTAATTAGATTAAAATGGAAGATTAACAGATGTTGAATTTGGTATCCATTACTGGATGTGGGATAGTATTTATGAAATCACATGGTATTTTGCTCTTACTTTCTGAAAATAAGCAAATGTATAGAGGACTAATAAAACTATTAGAGAAACATTCAGGTTCTCAAATCTAGCTGCCTCACTATCTAAGTATGTATTGAAATTTTCTTGAAATTGAAAATAATTATCTCACGGAATTTTGTCTCAAACTTTACAAAAATACTTTGTAATTCAATTTCACGATTTTCCTGAAACTGATGATTAGACATAGTTATTTCAAAAATATATACCAGTATATCTGCAGGTGATGGTGATCAGATGACTTTAGAGGTTCATGAGACTCTTCGGGGAGCATTTTAATAGCCTGCTTTTTAGCAAGGAATTTTTCAAGAAAATGGCACGTGAAAAATAAAAAACAAACTTAAATTAAGAAATTACTGTGTAATCAGTGAATTTAGTGTTTAATACTTGGTACACTTTTAGTTGTTGGAGGGTTTAATGAAGTTTATTTTTTGCCTTTTTTTTCCCCTGAATAAAATATGCATATACCATTTAACACAGCAGTGATTCAATCACATATCCTCAGAGTTACTGCTTAATGGTCTGAGTTTGACCTAAAATGTGCAAGGCACAGGTAGGGGATAGGTTTGATCTAGGGCTTTTTTTTTCAGTCTGTATTCTTTCAGGGATACTTATATATCCAAAGAGGGAATAAAGCTGTAACACAAATCCTTATTCCCTTACATGGAACTATGTCTAATAAACCAGTAGAATATCAAAGCAGTTGCATGTGAGTGGCAGAGGGGATTAGTTTCTTTTAATTCGAGATTGCTTGTGTCTAGATGAAATAACTGTTCATTCATTTTCTGTTGAGTGTTTGCTTGCTTCAGTGTTGGGTGGTGCTCTCTGATTTACTTGTCTTGCCTGCTTGTATTAATGGGTCTTCAGTTCTCTGAAATAATGGCAACAGTTGCCAAAAGAAGTCACAAACATACCTGTATAGGATGATTAAAGAATTTATCATTGCAAAATAAAGCTGTACAGCTTCTAATTTGTAACTTATTTTG